AATGTTATGATTATTCATGATTAAAGCTAAGTACATAATAAAGGGACATTCGAAATTACTCGATTCAGTGCCTGTTGAGCTTCGTTGAATAGGCAGGGCACCTCTACCTCGTTCATTTTTGTTTGATCTTTTTCGGTCACCAAGCATCGAAGGTAACTGGCAATCCCCATCGGGGAAGAAAGAACCAGGGCGTCCTCCGGGATAGACATATAAATTTCCCGTCTCTGAGTAGGGTAAACACTCGGAGCTGGGAACTGGTTCACTAATCATGGGCTTGAAGAAGGACCGCCGGCTTTCGGGGACGGTGTCTTCTTTAGTACCGGTAAGTCGCCAAACCCGGTAATATCCTCTGAGGTGGTAGATTCCAGGCCATCGAAGAAATGATGAAGAGAGTCTACTGCTCCTTGGGTTCCCTCGCCGAGGTTACCTTTCAGTGTCTGAGCCTCGTTTATCATCGAATCAATAAACGAAGGTGACCCAGAGAGGTTTATTACCCCAAACGCCTCCTTAAGCATATTATCTTCTGACCGAGAAGTACCGGCCAAATTCCCTTTGTCAGCTTCTCCAGCTCGGAGCGAAACGGTCTCGACCCTCCCTGGTTCGAAGGCTTCGGCCGCTACTTCTTCTACGGCCTCCCTAACTTGAGGCAGTTCAGAACCACTTCTCACACGGGCCACCAAATTGGAAATTCTCTTCTTCTTCTTCTTCTTCGGACTCATCCCTCAACCGATGGAGTGAGTCCGATGAGAGCTCTCGGGCACTAGCGTCTTTGGTTTTACGCATCAGTCGTTTCCTTGATTTTTTTCTTTTCTAGGTCTGAGGAACTCAGAGATTTTCTTTTCTTCTTCTCTTTGACCTGTTTCGAAGCAGGGGGATCAGTGTGTACATCATCATCAGCTGGTGGAGGCCTCATCTCGACGTCCTTTGGTAAACCTGCAAAATGAAAATATAATGGATTAGAGACCGATGATGAAAAAATGAGATCAGATATATTATTAGGGAAAAACTCTTACCATGATTACGGGCCTCCCATCAGCCCTTCGAGAGCTCACGCCATAAACGCTCGGAGTAAGGTCTCTGTGTCGCAATGCCCTCGACCCACTCTTTAAGTCCATGAATGGGGTTCAGCATTTGGGCGATAACTGCATCACATAACATCTATGAGAAATCAACTAAATAAAAAGCAATAAAATGAATACCGAAGGCAAAGCTAATCTTACGTTTTATGTTCCATTTCTCAGGAAATGGCATGTCCGCAGTGGGATTAAGTTCGAGGTCCTCACTCGAAAAAATCGATCGAACCACCCCCCGGTCTCGATCCTAGTCTATACTCGAGAACAAGGTCTTGGTGGCTCGGCGTGTAAGCTTAATTAAACCTCCTCGGTAAAGTCGAGGGTTGTATAGGCGCATGAGATGGTCGATGGTGAATGGACATCCCTCGACCTTGCTCACAACGAATCAAAGCAGAATAACGATCCTCCAAAATGAAGGATGTATTTGCCCGAGCGTCACATCATACTTTTTGCAAAAATCTATGATAATCGGGTCTAGAGGACCCAACATAAAAGAGTAAGTGTAAACACTTAAGAAACCCTCCACATAGGTGGTGATTGATTCTTCAGGGGTAGGAACCACTACGAGTTTTCTTACCCAGTTGCAGTCCTCTTTAAATTTATCGAGGATGTTGCCCGTAATCGTACATATGTACCTCGAGACCAGTTCACATCGACCCGGTACCATGGGCGTATTCTCAACTTTAAAGTCAGCCATAGTAGGGCACCCGGTAGGGATATATGATCTCAAAGGTGGTTCCTCAGTAGCAGCGTGAGAAACGTTTTCAGAAGGCTTTGAAGAAGAAGGTGCTTCTTTTTGAGGAACAGACTTTGAAGTCTTTGCCATTTTTATAAAAACGGAGGAAAGAGATTGTTGATAAGGGGAAGCTTTGAGGTTAACAATGAGAAAACCAGAAGATGAAGAAAGTGAAGTTTTCTTAGAACACAAGAAGGATTTAAGCGTAAAAGTTCTAAACAAACGGATTAAAGGGTATTTATAGTATTCCCAAACGGCGATTCAAATCACGGCGGTGCACATCCCGAGGTGGACGACCATTGACCGACACACATTAAATGCCTCGAAGACTGGACTGACGGGATGTTTTCACTAATCTTACCACCTACGCCATGAATTCGTCGTCATGATTTATTGAAGGGACTATCTGTATACGGGTAAAACCGAGCTTGATGTTTGATCGAGCATCTGGAACAATAGACCAGGCTCGAATCATCTATTAAAGATCAAAGGTATTAAAACCGAGCTCAGTATCGAGGTTCGAAGTTCGACAAGACCATCATATTCGCCCTCGAGTTTACCGAAGGCACCACCAATCCTGCTTCTAACGGCCTCGGGGAAAAGTTTCGCCAACTCATCTGACAAGGTTCCGTGATTTTCTCTATTAACCAATCATTATGGCAGAAATTACGGAATTAAGTAAAAAAGGGGGCCAACGGTCTACAAAATCAAGGACTTATATTTTTGATTAAAGAATGTCTTAAAAGTAAGATCTCCCCCAATATATAGAAGGGGGACTTGATAATTCATGAGACACATTGTAACATACTTAAGAGAACAAGATACTATTTTTTCCAGCTTTGTTCGTATTATTCTGGCTTCAATAATATCACATCTAAATTCGAAGAGAATCAACCTTGCGAGGCTTAAGTTGTTCAATCTGCATGGTTTGCATTTGTTTTTCTACTTATTCTTCCATATTAAATCTGATTCCTCACTTTGTATCAAATTAGATCACATATCCTTAAAATCACGTATAAATTTAATTGTTATCCGATTTTGGGGGTAAACACACTTAAACCCAAAAAAAAAAATTAGAGGGAATGTTTGGATCACATAGCATCCCGGTACTGGTAGCTACATAAAAATGAAGAGCAAAGAAACCCTCTTATCTTAATAAAACTTAACAGTTCGATGATATGTCGACCTCCAAGTCCAATGTCTTGTTGGGTAATTGGAATGGAGAAAGAAAAAGGGATAGCAAAAATTAATTGTTAGACTGATTATGTTATATCCGGCGGAGTGTTGGCCAGTCAAGACTTCTCATATTTATAAGATAAAAGTAGCAGATCATGAGGATGTTGAGATGGATGTGTGTGCATACTAGGAGAAATAGAATTAGGAATGAGGATATTCGGGACCAGGTGGAGTAGCTTGTGTGGTAGAGAAGACGAGGGAAGCGAGGTTGATATGGTTCAGGCATGTGAAGAGGAGATACACAGATACCTCAGTGAGAAGGTGTGAGAGGTTGACTATGGCGAGTCCAAGAAGAGGTAAAGGTAGGCCAAAGAGGTATTGGGGAGAGGTGATCAGGCAGGACATGGCACATCTTCAGATCTACGAGGACATGACCCTTGATAGGAAGTTGTTGAGGTCGAGGATTAGGGTGGTAGGTTTGTGAGTAATCGAGCGTTAGGGTAATAGGTTTTTTCTCTTTCAAACCTGTATTTCTCTTTCTTACCTGTTGTTTCGGTTGCTTCGGTTCTATTATTTTTCTCATTGTTGTTACTGCTTCTCTTTCTGTAGTTCTTTGTCATTACTATTGTGATTATACTTTCCTTGAGCCGAGAAACTATCGAAAATAGTATCTCTACCTTTACAAGGTACGTGTAAGGTCTGTGCACATGAGACCCTCCTCATACTCCACTTGATAGAATACACTGATATGTTGTTGTTGTTAGCATATAATTAATTATTATCGCAAAGAACTAGTCCATTATTTTTTTTTGGTAAATAAAGAATTTTATTACCAATTGGTCATTATGAACATAAGGAGATTTAAAACAGCAGACTGTTGAACATATTGTTCCAGCAGGTGACACTAAGCAAAACATCTACTACCTGATACTACAAACTTCTACTGCTACCCTAGTGCTAAGGATAAAAGTTCAACATTTCCAATTTTCGAGCAAGCCTTAGCTTCATTGATCCCCTGCAACAAACTTCTTGAATGATTTGCTTTATAATAAGATCTGGTGCTGAATATTTATCTTGAAACACCCTTTGATTTCTTTCCTTCCAAACATAGTATATACTTGTTGCAAGTACTATCCTATAAACTTCTGCTTCAGAGCTTCTCCCTTTTGCATGTTCTTCTGCCCACTTTAATTCCTCCAACCAATCCATGGCCTTCATGTTTACTCCTTGCCAGAGCAAGATTTTATTTCAGATATAAACAGCATAGTCATATTGAAAAAATAAGTGTGAAATACTCTCGATCCCACTATTGCATAGAGGGCAAGATTGTGCTATATCCATTCCCCAATGAAGCAATCTGTCTCTGGTAAGTATTCATCCATGTGCCACCAACCTCAATATGAATACCCATTTAGGAGCTCCTAGATTATTGCATACTAGCTTCCTCCAAGAAACCTTAGGAAATTCTCCTTTCAGTTTAGTGTACAGTTGTTTAATAGAGAAGATTGTCGAGGACTCCTAGATTACAGTCCATTATTGTTTTTAATGCTCAGGAATATGTTCATTTGCTAATATGATGGTCGGCCATATTTCATATATGTACTACCTTGGAACTTCGCTGCACCATAACAGTAAGTTAATATTTCTGTCACTTGCACAATAGTTTGTATGATAAAGTAACACCAACCAATACGAGGAAAACTTGACCAAACTATCCAAAAATTAGGGTAACACTCACTTTTCTATTTTCAGAGGGAAATGCTAATCTAAAATACAAGGGAATATCTGGAAGATGAAACCATTCAACAATCAACAGGTAGAATAACATAACCAAGACAATAGCATGTACTTACAAGAGTTAGAGATCATATCTACTGGAAAACAATAGAATCAAAATTACTTACAAGTG